AGGTCACTGTTGTCCTGCCCTTCTGGAAAACATTTAGGATTTGAAAGAAGCTTTTCTTTGTTGGAAGGTTCTCTCCGTGTTTTAGGTGCTGTGGAAGTGGCGCAGGGTTGGGCACTTGTTAAAGGTCAGGAGAGAAGCCCAGCATTGCTCTGTGCCAACATGCATCCAGTTTCCTTCACACTGTCCTCTTTGTTTCCAAGCCTTACAGGAACCACGTTGCCATGCATCCAGCTGATGAATCGCTCTCGGATGCTTGGAGGAATTGTTCTGTGAAAAAGTCACTTGTTGTTGGAGGCTTATGCATTGTGGTGAAGCACTAGAAGCGTGTGGAAATCAAATGTCAGTGATATATTTGTTTAACAGAGTGGGATGAGTTACCTTTTTTAGCACATGAAGAAAATGTTGGGTTTTCAGTAAAGGTAGTCGACACAAAGATGCTATGGTGCTCTTAGTGGTTTTGGTGTTGCTAAGGCATTTATATGGTTATTATATGGTTAATATAAATATGGTTTCTTATTGGATAAAAAAAAATTATCCACCTCAGGTGAGCTTTAAAAATTTTTTTTTTTTATTAAAGTTTTAAATTTTATGCACATCTTGGCATTTTCATCCAGCATGTTTTTTTTTTAATGTGATAACTCAAAATTCACATAAAAATGTGGATGAAAACATAGCTAGTGACCGTAAAGAAATGTATTAGTATTATAAAAGATTTCAGTTTCAAATAAATGCTGTTCCTTTCGAACTTTGTATTTATCAAAGATTCATCATAGTTTCCACAAAAATATAAAGCAGCGCAACTGAATTCAACATTGATAATAATCAGAAATGTTTCTTGAGCAGCAAATCAGCATATTAGACTAATTTCTGAAGGATCATGTGATCATATGCTTAAAATTCAGCTTTGATCACAGGAATAAATGACATTTTGTTATACATAACAATAGAAAATCGTTATTGTAAATTATAGTAATATTTTGAAATTGTATTATTTTTACTGTATTTTTAATCAAGTTTAAGTAACTGCATACTTTTTCTAAAGAAGCCAGATGAGTTTAGGTACCGTTCATGTCCATAGCGCAAACTGTGCTGGACGAGTTGCATGCTAAAGTTGAACACTTAGAGTCAAGGGTTAAAGGTTAAGTATGAGCAGTGGTGAAATTGATGCTTGTCTTGGCAAACACCACTAATAAAGTTTATAACGTCTTGTGAACATCTTCTTTGTCTTGGTTCTCGGCACACCCTCTGGTTCTTCTCCTGGTTTGTACTTGATCATATAACTCCGAGTTTCAGACTGTTTAGATTTCCCTCCATCTATCCAGCTAAATAGTTGTATTCTCTTGTGGTTTATGGAATTCCACAAATTTCTGATGCCGTCTGCATTTTCCCAGACTCGCAGGCAGGGAACGACCCCATATAAGTTCATGTCAGAGTTGATCACATTATGCCACTCCTCCAGACTGGTTTCCTGTTTTTAGAGTTAAGCTGAAAAACTGCAGCATCTCAGGCTTTCCAAGTGCTGAATTTGGTAGATTTGTAATGCTGGGCCTTATAGGGGCCTATGATTTCAGCAAAACGTGGACATATTAATTGAATCCAGTAAAATTGGTGTATAATTAACGCATGTAAACAACGTATGCTGTTCTGTGTCAGCAGCACCGTACACAGATACGCTGTTTACGATGTTTACGCTTTGATCTGAACGTAAACAACGTATCCGCGTACATACGCTGCATATGTTGTTTACGTATGTGATACTCTCCAAAATGGCGCTACAGGGTGATGCGGAGGAGACGAATCGTTGAATAAAGTCGTTATTTTTGTTTTCTTTGCGCATAAAAAGTATTCTCGTAGCTTTATAACATTACGGATGAACCACTGATGTTACATGGATTATTTTACCGATCTCCTTGCTACGTTTCTGAGCTTCGATCATGTTAGGATCCTTGCTGTCTATGAGAGGGTCAGAGAGCTCTCGGAATGCATCAAAAATATCTTAATTTGTGTTCTGAAGATGAACGAAGGTCTTACGGGTTTGGAACGACATGAGGGTGAGTAATTAATGACAGAATTTTCATTTTTGGGTGAACTATCCCTTTAATTTGGTTTAATGTAAAGTTTTTTTTTTTTTACATTTTAAAAGATGATTCAGTTGTTAAAGTTTTATGAATTAATTTGATTACCACAATTTTTTGGAAAATTTGTATAAAATCCAGATGAATTTAAGCAGATTTTGGAGATGGAAAAAAGGCCCCATTACTGTTAAAATTTGATGAAATGCTTCAATGATTAAAGGGACAGTTCACCCAAAAATGAAAATTACCCCATGATTTACTCACCCTCAAGCCATCCTAGGTGTATATGACGTTCTTATTTCAGATGAATGCAATCAGAGTTATATTAAAAATTGTGCTGGCTCTTCCAAGCTTTATAATGGCAGTGAATGTTGGTCGAGATTTTGAAGCCCAAAAAAGTGCACCCATCCATCATAAATAGTACTCCACGTTTTACATTCTTAAAAATAAAGGTTGTTTATTGGCATCAATGGTTCTATGAAGAAACTTAAACATCCATGGAACCTTTCAAATGCAGAAAAGTTTATTTATAGTTTAAAAAGGTTCTTTAGATTTCTAAAATGTTCTTCAACATG